AGCTGCTTTGACGTCACATACAAGGGGTCTATTAAGCTGCTTTGACGTCACATACAAGGGGTCTATTGACCTGCTTTGATGTCACATGCAAGGGGTCTATTGAGCTGCTTTGACGTCACATGCAAGGGGTCTATTGAGCTGCTTTGACGTTTGACATCACATGCAAGGGGTCTATATATATACATCATGTATACTGTGCGATTAATACCTCGGCAACACCAACATACACTCAATTGCAAAAACAATGTTGGGTTCAAAACAAAGAACATGAACACTAAGGCCAAAAGGTATTCTAGCAAATGACATGATTATATTATGATGCATTCATTTGTGCTATGCAGTCGATATAAAAAGCTGAAAGCATGAGAGCTGTCTATGCTCTCAACACAACCATGGTTTTGCAATAGAGTCTTTGCATCATCACGTGATGGCAGCCATGACAGGAGGCAGGAACAAGAGACCTTCTCAGCTCGGGCGTAATGTTTTCCCGTTTCAGACCACGTGTCATTTCCTAGAGTATCATTTATTTGTTTAATGCTTGCGCTCGGTTGCACAGGAGAAGGCACATGAATATATATACAACACAAACAATCTTATACTCTAGGAAATGACACGTGGTATGAAATGGAAAAACATTACGCCCCAGCCAGGGAGGTCTAAACTGATTTACGTGAAAAAGAATTTAGTTTCTGAGGGGAAAAACTCTATGGTCGTGCCTCCTGTCATTGGCTGCCATCACGTGGCGGTGCGGAGCCGTTATCGAGTGTATAAAACACAAAAAAGAGTTACACAATGTAAAAAATTAGATTGAAATCTGTAAATATGTAGCATATCTATCAAAGGATATAAGGCCAGAAGTTGTAAAAAATATTGTAATAAAGGAATACTTTTGCCCCCAAAGTGACACCAAAGGTTAAAAAACTCTCAAAATCAAGAAAAAATACAAACAGCCTGGAATGAGAAAATATATGATCAAGAAAATATCCATACCTCCCCTATGGAGGGGAATTAGAATATCCATACCTCCCCCATGGAGGGGAATTAGAATATCCATGCCTCCCCCATGGAGGGGAATTAGGATATCCATACCTCCCCCATGGAGGGGAATGAGAATATCCATACCTCCCCCATGGAGGGGAATTAGAATATCCATACCTCCCCCATGGAGGGGAATTAGAATATCCATACCTCCCCC